CTTCTGAACTCCCCCCCGCCCCACAGACAGACAACAGAAGAATATTTAAGAGTTTGCTTTTGAAACTGCCTCTCTTAATCCATCTATTATGTCTACTGAAAGCAGAACACAAAACTTTGGGGAGTTACTAACTAGATGCTTGAATAAGTGATCAAGTCTCTGGAATTGGTGTGAAGTGAAAATGTTATTCTTTCCTGGAAAAAAGTCACTGGAAGCCCTCTTCTAATTGCTGTGAAAAGGCCTAACATTTCAATAATTGGGTGGATTTTTATAGGAAATTTGTCTGAGGTGAAGATTAAAAAAAAAAAAAATACAGCCAAGAAATTTTGGAATGAATTTCTTCCCAGCCTCCTGATTTTAGCTTGCTGAGAACCACAGGAGCAGGGACCATGCCGATGCTGAGAAAAAAAAATCTATTATCCGGAAGGAGTTCCCATAGCAAATAGAGATAGAAATGAATTTGTTTATTATTTATTTATTTATTTATTTATTTGAGTTGAAGTGGGAGGTCAGAATAGGAAGTTTGAGGGTGCTGAGGATATCTGGAAATGATGTGGGTCAATGGATTTACTATTGTTGAAAGGTTTTTCTTTTATTTATGATCAACAAGATGATTTGTAAAGAAGGCTCAATTTTCAGAAGCACCAACATTTTCTGATGAGCTCTTGTTCCAATATAAATCAAATCCTCACCAGAAACTTCCTCTACCTGGGGAAATGGGGTACATTCAACAACCTGAAGCTACTTTATGGTGGCTAAGATGATTGAGCCATGAACTTTGAGTGGTAACAGCCCTCTAGGTGTTTAGTAGACATCTTCCCAATCTCCTGTGACCTGGTCCTTTTAACAGGAGAGAACAGACATCGGACCTATGACTTCATCATGCAAACAACATACTCATGGAAAGGCTATGCCTCCTACAATTAATTAGAGCAGGAGAGAATACCATGTTCTTGTGTGGCTGACTTAGACTCCAGAGCAATCTTCCACCATGTATAGTTTCCTTCATTTCTTTCCTATTCCCACTACTTTCGTCCTCTCAGATTCTGTTCTTTGCCTTAGCAAATTTATTCCCTTGGAAGTGGTATCTGTACAAACCTCATGAACTTGTTTTTCATGTTGCAGTCATTGCTCCTTTCTAGATGTTCAGCCTGAGGGAAGCAAAACATCATCTCTGGGGAAAGAGTGGAAAAAGTCATTCCAATCTTGGTGGTGCAAGCTGGTCTAAGCAATGTCATGATCTGTGAGCACATTTCTCCCAGCCTCTGTCCCATTGTTATTCAAGATCGCTAACCCTGTGCAGTTTTCAACTCGTGGTGCATGGTCAAGGGGATTTTTGCCTTTCTCTCTGGTTGGGCTATGTTATTTGCAAAGCAAATGAAGACTCCTGACTTGCCACTCATACTAGCTGCAATCTGCGTGGGCAACATAATCATTAAAAATTATTGGTCCTGGTGGTGGGGGGGGGGGGGAGAGAAAGAAACGAAGATCTGAAATTTGTGGTAGATTTAGAATGATAATCAGGGCCCACTCATAAGGTTCCTCTCCCCACTCCTTCTCCTTAACCCATTTCACATCTCTCCCACATTCTGGAGGTACCTTCTCCAAAGATCAAACACTGCAAATAATTAATGAGCCTTATCACAGTAGCTCCCTTGAAGAAAGGCGCACCTGCCAGTAACGTTAACACCATATTTCCTAATCAAAAGACCAGGAACAGTGGGAGATAAAATATTCTTTTTCCATACAATCCAGGTTTTAAGTAATTCATCTAGGCAGAGTGTATGTGGTACACATGTGTGCATGTAATACAGATATATAAACACACACGTGTGTGGTATGATAATGTTTGTATGCACACATAAACATGCACACAAGCCCTGCTCTCCCCCCCCCCCGCCCCATGTGGGGGGATGATACCTTTAAAAGTAGTGCTCATATATCTTCCTGACCCAGGAGTTTCAAATATTCATATTTGGCTTTAAGTAGCAGAAATGAACTCTAATTAGTCCCACTAACCTTTCTCCTTTTGTAGTCTGAATGTTCCAATGTACTTATGTTCTCATTTGCTTTAGTTCTCTTGCTTTACCCACTTGATAAAATGACTGGACGGTTGTTTTAAGGAATAGGAGGGATGTTGGTGTTCCCAGAATGGGTCATGGGTTTCTAACCCTGTTCTGGAAACACCTTGCCCCTCTTTAGGAGATGGGCAGTCTTGGGCTTCAAGGGCAGCCTGATCTGTCATCCTAGGGTCTTTTGAGGAAACCCAAAGTAGACTTACATTGACAGATGAAGTCTTGCTACTTTATGCACACGTGGATGAGAACTGATTCCCCCAGATCAGAAAAGGAAGCAATGTAGCAACGGTGTCTGTTGCATGTCCAACTTATCATGACCCAAAACATGTAGGAGATTCATAGCCTCTTCATACCTTTGCTTCCACATCCCAACCCAAACATATTGTATTATTTAGCATTACATTTCTATCCAAATTTGCTCTAGGCATTTTAAGGTGGGATAATTTTCTTCCAACAAAAATGTCATGATCCGTGAGCACATTTCTTTCAACCTCCATTCCATTCTTATTCAAGATTGCTAACCCTGTGGAGATTTCAACTCATAGTACACGGTCAAGGGGATTTTTGCCTTTCTCTCTGACTGGGCTATGTTATTTGCAAAAAAATGCTATAAAGCAAGTTGGGCTGAAAAATGGCAAGGGCTCAGAATGATCCAGAGAGCTCCAGTCAAACAAGTTAATGACAGTTCTATGATGGCCACATTCCACCTCCCATATGGACCTTCTATTACAGTTGCATGACATGGAAGTGAAGCCTAAAGGCTGAAAGAAATGAGTATTACAGATATTAGTTGCTTATATGTGTAATAAATGCAGAAGGCTGAATCTTGTAGGGCTTTACCAAAAACATTTTAAAGATAGAAGGAAGGATGGAAAATACAGCTCCTGAGAAGACCAGTGAGAGATATGGATACAGACAAAAATCACTTGAATCACTGATGAGCAACCCAGTGTCCAAATTTCAAGTTCTCCACAGTTGTTCATTGGGCAAAGTATTACAGAAAACAGGGAACAGGGAGAATTTGTTTTTAACCTCTGAGAAACATCAGGCCTCAAATTTGTGTAAAGATGTGCTGGCAAATGTTAATGAGAAACATAGCCCTCTTTTTCTGCTTATCTCATTTGCATTTCTTTTTTGACAAGAAACAAGGATGAAGGTCAGATTTGCCCAAACGGAACTTCTCAAAGATTGTGATGGCCTTATGCATCCTTTCCTTCCATGCACTGCCTGTCATTAGCACCCATATCAGTACAAAATACCTTTGGTGTCAGACTGTAGGATTCCCTATTTTTCACATTCTCATGTTATCTCTATTTCAAATAGCCAGTTGATTTGTAATATATTTGCACGCATGTAGCACACATAAACACACACCATTTCTCTCTCTCTGCAACTAGATGAGAATAATCTGATATATTCATAATGTTACATTCTGAGAAGATGTTGAACAGGAATCTATACTGGTTTGACCTGAAATGGCAATTAAATGGATTCCCTCTTCTTTAAACATAAGGCAGTGGCCACATGCTACAGCCCATGCTCTCCCTTGGAGATGTGACCAACATTCATAAAACCATTTTGATACTACAAGAGAGAATCATTCTACTGAAATGTGGCTAGGTCACCCAATTCCCTCCACACATCTCCAATCTCCTCCACACAAAAGATACCTTGCTTAATATCAAATTATTTCCATGGAGTGCTGAAAAATTGGAGCAGGTTACAATTGTCTTATAAGTGAGAATGAAAACTGAAGAGCATTTCTATTCATATTCTTGGGGTTTCCCACTTCATGCTGATGAAAAACCACAATTGCTGGTCTTAGCAACTGTGACCAGGACAAAAGCAATCCAACAGAAGAACCAACATTTCTTTTATCTCAATTTCTTCATACATTTTCATGTAAGTATTCTAGTGTATACCACACATGTTTGGGACGTATTTCATAACAGAGATGTGGAAAGTATTACAGATATTTTAATACAAACAACAGATTTGTTTCAACAAATGAAGAAGCACTTGTACCAAAGGGAAAATTTAAGAATTGTAAGAAACAGGAAAACCAAGACTCTACACTGTTTAAAAATCAAAACCTGGATGTTGAAGCTGTTTTTTTCAAACTTAAATTCCCAGTTAATTTTCAGTCTTTAGTTTGCAAGTGTTTGTTGATTTGCAAACCATAGAATCATGGTGCGTATTTCAGCAATATCCCTATCTATCTCTCATGTTATTATCTACATCTCTACATCTCTATCCTAAACCTTTTTGCTCTTTGAACTGCTTGAAACACAAGATCTCTGATATTGGGAAGACTTTTACCTTTTTTTGAAAACAAATTTAAGAAATAGTAGTAGTAGTAGTAGTAGTAGTAGTAGCAGTAGTATCCCTATCTATCTCTCATGTTATTATCTACATCTCTACATATCTATCCTAAACCTTTTTGCTCTTTGAACTGCTTGAAACACAAGATCTCTGATATTGGGAAGACTTTTACCTTTTTTTGAAAACAAATTTAAGAAATAGTAGTAGTAGTAGTAGTAGTAGTAGTAGCAGTAGTAGTAACATGGGGTTCCAACTTACCTTATAGTTTGATGCTGCAAAGTGTCTGGATCGGTAGCATTAACTGTTAAGACAACACTGCTTTTACCTTTTTTTGAAAACAAATTTAAGAAATAGTAGTAGTAGTAGTAGTAGTAGTAGTAGTAGCAGTAGTAGTAACATGGGGTTCCAACTC